CCCAACCTTGGCCAAAATTTTATAAGGCCCGTAATATCGAACTCCGAGCTTGGTCGCGGCCCTTTGCGCGGCCGTCCTTTGTCGAAATGGCCTCAACTTCAAGTACACCCAGTCCCCGGGCTCAAACTCTACGTCACGCCGCTTGCCATCATGATACGCCTTCATCCTATTGATCGAGCCTTCCAACGTCCGCTTTAGCTCGCACAACATCAAGTCTCGTTCGACTAACTCTCGATCGACCTCGTCGTTCACGGCGCTCCCCATCGAGTAACTCACGATCGTCGGCGGTTTGCGCCCGTACACCAACTCGAACGGTGTTGCCTTAGTCGAGCTATGGTAAGTGGTGTTATACCAATACTCGGCCCAAGGTAGATAATTCTCCCATCGCTTCGGAAATTGATGCACATAGCACCTAAGGTACTGTTCAAGCGTGCGATTGGTCACCTCTGTCTGTCCGTCGGTTTGTGGATGATAAGCTGAGCTCATGCTTAGCTCGGTTCCCTGCAATTTAAAGAACTCCGACCAAAAGCTACTCATGAATATCCGATCTCGGTCGGACACAATCGACCGTGGCACCCCATGTAATTTCATCACATATTCGACAAATAATTTTGCTATAGTCTTAGCCGTGTATGGGTGAGTAAGTGGAATAAAATGCGCATACTTGGTAAGGCGGTCGACTACCACCATGACTTTATTGAACCCATTCGAGAGTGGCAACCCCTCGATAAAATCCATAGTGATGTCCTCCCAAATACGTGTGGGGACCGGCAAGGGTTGTAGCAGCCCGCCTGGTCGACGCGCGTCCGCCTTAGTGCGTTGGCACTCATCACATCGCCCAACGTAGTCGCGCACATCGCCCCTTAGCCCTGGCCAATGAAAAGTGCTCGCAATCCTCATCCATGTCCGGAACACCCCAGAATGTCCTCCAAACTTTGAGTCGTGGAAGTGCCGGATGATGTCCTCGCGCAACGATCCCGCCTCGGGCACGACGACTCGCCCATGATAAAGAAGCAAGCCTTCGTGCATGTCATGGTCCTCGTCCTTGTCGCGTCCCTCGTTCAGTTTCTTGACCACGTCCTGACAATGCGCATCCTCGTTTTGCGCCTTCCGAAGCTCTGTCCAAACGGCCCACGTCGGCCCCGTAACTGCGTCGAGTTCGGCCACGTCTTCCCAGCGAGACAATGCGTCGGCTACGGTGTTCTGGGGACCAGGTCGATACACTATCTCGAAGTCGAACCCCATTAATTTGGACACGAACTTCTGCTGCTCGGGCGTCACGATCCTTTGTTCGAGCAAGTGCTTGAGCAGCTGCTGGTCCGTGACAATCCGAAAGTGTCGCCCAAGCAAATACGGCCTCCACACGCGCACGACCTCGACTACGGCCAACATTTCCTTTACGTATGCGGACAACCCTAAGCGCGCTGGCCCGAGTGC